AGTAGGCTTCGTTGGTGTCTCAGTCGTGACATTGGGCTTCGCAGCACCAAAAAGGCCACCAAACGCTGGCTTAGATGGACTTGGGGAAGTAACATTCACGGCAGGCGGATTGCCAGATTCTCCGAATTTTATTGGGCTATCAACTTTCCATGTATGATCGCCCTTTGGACTATCTCCAGCTTTGGAATTCGCGCTTGTGAAACTCGAAGCAGCATCAGAAGGTGGACTGAATAGATTGCTCGATGTACCAGACTTGAAGGATTGACCGAAGATATTGCTTGTTTGTGAAACTGCACGACCGTCTGCTTGTGGTATCTCACGAATAGGTTTGCCGTCTTTGTCCCTGGAGATTCGATCGAATAGGCTCCGTCCAGTATCCTCTCCGTTAGCATTCTCTGCTGTGTCATAGAGGCCACTCCCACTTGCGCCGAACGGGTTGCTGAGTGCCTTCGGCTCTTTGGATTGGCCTTCTCCGTCCTCGTCTGACTCCGATGCTGAATCATCGTAGTCGAATGGTCCACGTACTTGATGTTGTCCGTTCGTCTCATCATCCTTTTCATCCTCATCGTCCTCATCATCGGCATCGCCAGTCTTGCTACCCTCTGCGCCAGACTCTTCGCCTGACAAATGACCAAATATGTTGTGACCGTTAGTCAGCGGTGCAAGTGGTTGGCTTAACACTGAAATACTAGAGTCTGCTGGCTCTGCTTGATTTGCACTCGTGCTTGGCTTCTCGTTGTCTGCGTCTGCGGCGATCACCCATTTCCCATCAATGAGTTTGGCAGCCTTGCCTTTGAATTCCTCCTCGAGCTTTTGCTTCTTCATCCGCTGCTCTTCAGCATCTCTACGCTCCCATGAGTCCAAGTCTTCCTCATCCGAATCGAAATCCGCTGCCTTGCGCTTCTTTTTGTCTTCTGCCGCGGTCTTTTCTGCGGCTTTGCCAAATTGTGAGATAAAGTTTGTCGAAGACGCACCAGCACCAAACGTTGGTACTTTGAACGTTGGAGCATTTGGTACCTCGGACGAGGTCGAACCAGTAGACGTCTTAATAGAGAACGGGCTTGGATTGGATGCACTCGATGCTGCTGCTGCGCCAAATGTTGGAACCTTGAATGCTGGAGCTTTAGCAGCTTCAGATGAGGTCTGACCACTCGTAGGTGGCTTGGCAGAAAAGGGATTGGCACTAGATGCTGTCGATGTTGTAGCACCGCTTGAGAATTTGACTGCCAACGCTTTGGTCGCATCCGAAGGAGCCTCACTGCTTGTAGTAGGCTTGAAAGAGAAAGGACCTGACTCTGACGCCGTCAAAGGGGCAGCAGCGGAACTCGACGGCTTGAACGATGGGGTTGAACTGTTTACTGGCGCGCCATTGCTGGTACTCTGCTGGTTGGCGAAAAGACTAGAATTTGGTGTTGAAGAAGTCGGGTTGAAAGAGGCAAAGCTAGATTTGAATGGTGACTCGGTGTCAGGCTTGGACGAAAACGGCACCGAAGTGGTGGACGAGGGCTTGAAAGTCGATGGTGACTGAGTCGAAGAGGACCCAGAGGGTGCTTGGAACTGGAAAAGGGGGGTCGCTTTGTCATTTTGAGTGCCGTTGACTTTGGTCTCTTCCTTTTTGTCTAAGATATTTTTGAATATACTCGACGTTTGTGAGCCTGGTGAGGTAGCTGAAAGTGATGGATATGAGACTGGATCATGACCGCGAGCCTTCTTGCCATTGTCGGCTGTGCCCTGCGCATTGTCTCTCTCTGGCTCCTCGTCCGCGGATCTTTTGTTGTTTTTGTTGGTCGCTTGCTGGGCTGGAGGATCGCGTTTGGAAGGTGATTGATTTATGCTAGTTCCGTTTGACGACGCTCCTCGTGATTCCTGAGTGAAAATTGACGGGCCTTCGACTCTAGCCTTTTTCCCTAGTACTTCATCTTCTTCCCCTTCGCGATCCTCAAAGATAGACTTCCTCTTGCTGCGGACAATCTGTTCCAAGGGGTCAAATCCGTCAAGGACAGCCTTTATTCTCTCATCACATTGACTCTCAGCATGCTTTATGCGCTTTTCCTTGTGCCGTACATAAAATGAAACCCACCAATCTTGGGACCATTTTTTTGCCTCTTCTTCACTATAGCCTTCAGGAGCCGGTGACGGCCCAAATTTGCGGCGGATATCTGGCACTGTCTTTGGTCGTTCACTGGACTGCTGAGTAGACACAGATGAGCTCGGAACGTTACTGGTGCCATGACTTGGTGAGGCAGAGTCGCCCTTGAGCTGCGAAGGGCTAGGTTGAGAGACTGCCGAAGGCGCTGATGGCGCGGGAGAAGGTGATGGTAGGAGGGTAGGTGGCATCTTCAGACTGCCGAATATGGCTTTGTATGGCGGACGCGCATCTTCTGAAGGATTTTGAAAGAGGGTAGGCTTCGCAATCTTTCGCTCGCCGATTTTGGTAGGACTGTTTGCTCCATTCTCGTTCGAGGCTTTTGAGGTGCCCGGCGGTTGCGGCATGCTGAACAGATTACCACTGTCTGTAGCGGTATTGTTCTTAACAGGGCTGAACAAGGTTTGCGCATTGGTTTCGGTTGATGGTTTGGATATTCTATCGAAAGGACTGCCCCCAACACCTTGAGCAGTTGTGTCCTTGGTTGGACTTGATTGAGATTGAGAATCCGTTTCCGCAGGAGGTTTCGTGATCCTATCAAAAAGGCTGCCACCTCCGCCCTGAGCAGTACTGTCTTTAGTAGGACTTGACTGTGTTTGAGCGTTTGATTGATTCAAGAAACCAAATGGACGTGACTGCGGCGAAGGATCCGGTGACGTCTGCATCATAGAGCTTCCACCTTGGGTCGGGGACGTTGAACCCTGTGTGAGGAAACTGCTCGACGTTTGCGGTTGGCCCAGGTGTGCGAAGAGATTGGTTGTTGGTTGCGCGGGTTGTGACTGCTGGAACTGAGAGATGCTCTGTGCGAAAGGATTACTGGAGCTTTGGTTTTGTGGAGTCTTGAGGTGCGCAAACATGTCTGTGCTGGGCTGCGGGGCTTTTTGCTCTGTGCTTTGACCGAACGCATTGTTGGAAGGCTGCTGCTGAGCATTTGATTGCGAGAAGATCCCAGGACTAGCATGACTTGATTGTTGCTGGTCGGTGGACTGGTTGAAGGGATTGCTCGGAGGTTGCGGCGACTGACTTGATGTTGAAATGTTTGGAGCGCCTGCGGCGAACAAAGGCTTCTGCTCTCCTTCGAGAAACTTCTGAAAAGGACTCATCTTTTGCGGTGGTAGGTTAAATATGGTTCCCTGAAATCCGGTCGGCTCGGGCGGAGGGGCATTATGTGTGTTGATGGCAGTGAACGGATTGTTCACGTCCTGGGCTTGGCCCGTGTTGAAGCTGAATCCTGTTGTGGGTGCAGCAAATGAAGGGTTGAAGCTGTTGCTAGGGAACGGCGGGAAGGAGGAGGAGCTGTTCTGGTTGGGTTGAAATCCATTTGGCTGCTGACCGAAACTGAATCCACCTTGTTGTTGCTGTGTTCCGTTCATATTGATTCTGTCGCCTTCACCAAAGGAGTTCTGTTGCTGCTGCTGGGACATGCCAAGCGATGGTGAGGCGGGTGGACGCAGGGCCCCAGGCCGACGACCACCTCGAGGTTTCGCGAGCCTAGCCATTCTGTTGTTAGTAATTACACCTCTCGCAAGCGCGCTGTAGCCCATCAAAGGAGTTCCTCAATAGTGCGAATATGTTCGTGAGTGTTGTAAATGTAAGAGGTGTTGGAGGTGGATTTGTTTTTGTTGTGAAAAAGTGAGGTGAAAGAGTTGTGGTGTCGTCGTCGTGGTGTGACGAAGATTTGGTCACTCAAACATTTGCAGCCTCCCGCCCTACACGAACACCCGGAACTCCAAAATTTCCACATACCTTCGTTGTGCCATCTGCGCCGCCGTAGCTCTCTGAGGTCCTCCTATTTGCGATCCTACAGAGAAGCCGTCCTCATCAGACATTGTTCCATCCTTGGTGAGTTGCTGGTCGGCAACCCGCTTCGCCATCTCTGCTGAGGTGGGGTATTCGCAAAAGGTGAGAACGCCTTTTGACCGATCCCTTCAAGACTCTATATCAATTCTGAGCAAGTATGGTATTCTTCAGGCTTTCTCTAGGCTTTCTCAAGCGCGGCGGCAAGGCTAAGAAGAGTCGCGGTGTTGAAGAGCGTGAGAGACAACCCGCATCCGGTAGGGGCGGTCAGTCATCGAGGCTTCTCCGTTGTTCTTCCTGCGTTCACCATCTCCAAAATATTCTTTGTGGAGCGCGCTTGCAAGGTGCTTCGTAAGGATGCTGTTCTCCTAAGATCTAATGTCGTCCACTGCCCATAACAACAAAAACTCATGGATCAGCCGAGACAGCCTCTGCTTAACCCCATTCGGCATCTCTAGGGGAAGCTACGCTCATCACGCGCAGATCGTAGCACATGTCCGCGGAGCGCTTCCTTTTCTACAGCCGCAAGACACTTCAAAAAACCAAGATACTGCTGGGCCACAAATCCAATGGAAGGCTCCGAGGCTACAAGCGATTGCTTTGAGCAGAGCACAAGAAGGAGTCGAATCAGCCCAATGGCAAATTGCGCGCAATCAGGGAAGATCTGGACAATAATAAAATACAGTCCCGTATACCGCTGCCTGAGCAGGGAATGAGGAATTATCGTGCCCCAAAGACTACTCGGAAATTACAAATACGAGCAGGCAAAGCCAAGGTCACTGCCAACCCCATTACCACAGCGCTGCAAATGCCTCCTTCCCTCTCCCCAAAGTGCAAAGGAAGCGAGAATGATGCCATGACCATTGCGAATGTCACCAATCCAACTCCGTCAAGTCTACGCTTCTTCTGCGGTTTTGGAGCCACTGGCGAGGGATCGACCGTTCGCTATCTTTGCGCGGATCATGCTGCAAGCTAACGTATCCCTATGGGAAGCTGGACGAGGAATGAGACAAGAGTTCTGTTAGCAGGCTGTTTGCAACGGCGATTGCGCAACACAATGGCCGAAGAACCAGTGCCAGCCAGATGGTCGAGCAGCACTCCATTAACAGACCCTTCAGTGCTCTTTCCTGCGGTGGCCGCCATGTTCATAGAAGTCCTCCAGACTGCAACTTTCGACAGCGATGTCGGGTCTGTTCATCCATGTCGTGGTCAGAACAAGATAAGAATGTGTTCAGTCTCTTATCCTCCTCTCTGCAAGAGATTTACTTGCTCGTTATGATGATGCTGACTATGGTCATTATTACTGCTCCCTGGATCCCGCTATTGCTCTGTTCTTGCGCTTCAGAACAATGTTCCGTGGCCATTGAGACGAGTCCACCTGAAAGAATATACATCTAATCCTGAACAAGGTGAAAGCCATCACCTGTGTTATTTTGGGCCTAAAATTAGCTCTTGATGCTTCCGTGCCGTACCGCGAGAGTTGAGCGCCAACTCTATAGCCACAGGCGAAAAGAGCCAAGAGGACCATCTAGGTGGGTGCCAGACTACCGAATGTGTTTGTTGGTTGGTTTTGATGCACCTTTGGGGACAGAATTTCTTTCTATTAACTACAGCCGGCAGCGCAACGCTGAAGCCTGGCGTGTAGATCGTCAGCGGCCAAGGGCCACAGAAATGTGCCCCAGTTTCAGCCCCTATCAGGCCTAGGGTGCCTTATACTCACGTTACCCTGGTAAGGCCTACGCAAGCCTCATTGTCTGGGATGATTGCGTCTCACAGCGGTGTTGAAATATACTCCAAAACCCGCCTCAACCCCAACCCGAAAACAGTTCTTCCTATGAAATCATAGGGAACTTTTCTCAAGATCTTAGTGAGCTTTGAGTTCTTCTTCAGATTATTAATGTCATCAAAAATCCTACTACAAGATATAAAGATTGACAATGGTTCATGGCTTGACTTTGAGCGACAAACATGCACAGACACAAATAGCAGACGACGAGTCATAGCAAAACGCATTGTTCAGAGATTTGTTGCGGGTCAAGACTGTGCAAGCAATGCTTGGATGCGCGGCCTTCACAGCTTGTTTCGCGTGCGAGTCGTGGTCTTGTGAAACGCAGAAGACGACAAAGGTGTGCTCTAATCCATGCAATAGCATCAACCAATGCTGACGCCATGTATTCAGCTACAGCCCCTGTTTCTCAACACCTGTTTACACTTGGCTCTTATGAACAATTCACTATCCACGTGCGAGCATCACATTTCATCCTTCAAATACCATACAAGGCTGCATTCATGGCCCCAAACCCAAGACCCGCCCAAGCCTTCTGGCTCCGCTGGTTGAGCTCTTATGAGACAAACTCAGAGGTCTTCTCCAGCCGTATTGTTTGTAGCTGGGACTGTGGAATTATTGTTTGCACTGGTGTGATTTATGACAGAACAATAGCAAAGCATTCAATTACAAGATCCCCCACTTCAATCCGTTTGTCAATACGCCATTACGGATACCGTTATGACCAACGAAATAGATTGCTCGCTGCCCACAGCACTATTCCCCTTATCTTCGAGCGCGCAAAGAGGTGCCATAGGAAGTGGGGACTCGACTGGTGTATCAGCACAACATCAAAACCTACACAGCATCACTCTGGCGATCCTTACTTGCACAAGATACTGCTGGGCTTTGTGCTTCCAAGGTATTTTTTAGGTTGGACGTTTTGAAAGGCCATTGATTCCACAGATTTCAAAGACGTAGTCGTCGACTGCGAAAACTGCGAGAGTTCTCGAATACTGTCAATGGCCTGGGCTTGCTAAATTGCCGCTCACAAAGACTATCAGCACCGCAGCTTACTTAATTTGAATTTAGCGAAGTCAAGTTGAGGTCGACTGGACCTTCGTCGATACCCCTGACAAGGCCGCCAAAGTCATCTTCTACGTCCTCCACACCTGTGTCCATCCAGTCATTTTTGGTGAACGATTTATCTTCTCTGAGGATCCCGCTCTGAGCGATGTAGCATCCGAGACTGCGATGATAGGTGTCGTGGGATTGGAAAAGATTCGAGGCTTGTGGGGTCTGTTTGGTAGCTATAAGCCGGATCCGCAAGAGGAAGCGAAACATAGGGAGAGGAAAGCAAGGGAACATAGGGCGGCGGCTCTGTTGCAGGCACAGTTGCGAGTACGTTCTGGTCCGCAACCTCAGCAAGAGGCTCAGACGCAACCACGGGCGGTCCCGCAGCCTGCAGTCGTGGCCCCTTCCAATCGACTAGCTTCGCCATGACGCCTGGTACACATCCTGGACCTTGTCCATTTCGACGGCAACCGCGAAATTCGAATTTGGCCATTTACAGGAGGTGGTCATGCCCAGAATTGGCGCCCGTACCAACTGAAAAGCCTCGCGCAACACACCCTCAACCCTGTCTATCTACGCCATAGAGTTCTCCTTTGTGTCCTCGCCATCCGTCGCGGTAACACTGAATATACCTAACACTTCACCAGCTGTCATATGATTCCATTCATCTCTGCACCATCACCGTATATTTCTCAAATACTTCGAATTTCAATCATCTATCTTCCGACGTTGATATCATTGCATTTGCATACACAATGCTTACAACAACGGTCGGACATGATATATACGCCGGACTTGTTATTATAGACGAAGGCGGCGTTTTAGGTCACTTGAGCGCGGATACCCTGTCGATTGCCATCTTTTTGGGGAGGAGTTGGTGAATTCGTTCCATGTATAGACTTGGGGTGAGCGGCATCACGGAAGGGGTATAGACTGTACATACCCATGGGGAAAAAATTCAATGTAATCATTCCCCAATACTGCTCACAGCCACTTGCTTATCCTTCATCTCGACATAGCCCATCAGTCATAGGCGCCAAGAATTGCCAGGGAAGTGCTCTAAGTAAGACGACCGGTGAGAAAATGGTAAATCACATTCGAGGCCGGGCCCGGCCCCTATGACCCATGGCTCATGGCCTATGGCCTTTAAACTTCGCTTCAGGCCTTCCATGGGCGCTTACGCATAGGGATTGAACACACGGCTGAGGCCCGGACGACCCGCCCGACTCGCGGAGGGATTCCTTGATGGGTTTTCTCGATATATTGATGTGGCTGCCGTAGAGGTTAGGCTGCTTGGGCAATTGCGTGGAGAACAGTTTGGTGGTTGGGCATGAAAGGAGAGAAGGGTTGTCAGATTAGTAGTCGGGCTCGTCCAAGCCTACTAGACTTTGGTTTCTGGGAACGGGGTCGAGAGAGCGCCATTGGATTCGACTGCTTTTGTCGCGAGATCCACCTCTTGGAACGCTCTCTTCTACCATGACGCCGTCCTCCCCCCCCCCTTCGTGACGAATGAAGGCTGCTTGGACGATTTTTCGGCCGTCCTCCACAATCTCAGAGTCGTGCCGGTCCAATCTTACGCCGTGGTCTGTATTTCCAAATGTCTTCACTACATCACCCCTGCTATCCATCATAACGTGAGTGGAGTGTTTGAAAATCCGCCCTTTCAACCGACCCTCCCACACTGTGGTGAAAGCGAAGTGCGCCTCGCCTCGATACTGGATCGGACGGAGGTCATGAGCGGCCCATCTGAACTCGGTCTTCGAACGCGAATACCGATCCCAGATGAGTTCCTAGCTAGACAGTCATACAATGGTAAAGTAAAATTCAGTGGGGATGGGCCTCTCAATTTCAACGTACATCACGCAGGTCGTCGATGAAGGAACTATCTTGTGCCGAGAGGTAGAGTGTCAAGAAGAGTAGATCGACATCTATAGTGTACAAGTCGTTTACGTGAACGGTAAGATGGGGTGCGATTACGTCTGGCCTTTGAATTAGACGTTGTTTCTCAGCCATGGAATTTCATAGTGCAGGCTTCTTCCACCTACCGAGATGTAGTCTCGATAGGGGTCTGCGTGTGCAAGAGAACAAGCAGCACCAAGATCAAGCGGAGATCTTTTTTTCCTCTGGAAAGATGAATGACTTTCCAAAGCATCTGAGAGATGATCATGTTCTTAGCTGACCAAAGCCACACTGAAAGCTCATATGCCGATAGAGCATATGTGTTCACGGTTGATAAAAAGATTCATGACAAGGAACCAGAGAGTTCGGCTCATTGTCTTGCGTTCTCTGGTTCCTAGCCGCCTGACTCACCTTTCACCATTCACTGACCATGAGGCAAGGAGAATCAACGTCTCTGGTGGACGAAAACTGCGACGAGACTGATCCCATCAAACTCTTCCACGCGAATGACTTGACTAGCAATTAGCCCGAGACTTTCAATCTGACAGTGATTCAAACTCGCGTTTTGAGTTTATTGTGGGGCCGGAGCATAGTAGCGTCATTCGTTTTCGACAGAGGATCTCTGAGACTAGTTGGAGTAGATGCATCATGTCGCAGATAGATAAAATGTGTCATGCGTATCTCGACACCGGCCCAGATATACGTGGCCGTGGCTATTGATTGCCAAGTTCACAAAGGCTTAGTGGGAGCCAGAGACGAAGCCGATATCCAGATGCAGATGGGTTCAAAAGCGTCGATCTAGTCCGGAGAAGATTGATTCGATTCTATAACTACCTAGACGAAAGACCGGTAGTGCTCCATGTCCAGAACGCTATAAAATACCAGCCACCTTCACAGCTTCGCCTTCATTTGCGCCTTCTTGAGCACGGGTTCCATCTTCGTAGCCTACCGAGCAACCGTCTAGTCAGCGGAGCCGTCTTCAAGGTGGGAAGTGATCCGCAACCTACCTTCATGACATCCCCCTTGATCTTCAGCTTCCCCGACATAAATAGCCGTTGAGCCTGCGTCTTCCCACTGACCAGTTTGGCGAAATCGTCGTCCGATAATGATAACGTCACTGCAGCAGCCCGTCGATCAGCCTGTATTCTCAATGCGTTGACTTTTTCACAGATTCGGGTAGCCTCTTGAGTACTAGCCTCCAGCCGGAGGCAATCAATCAATTGTCTGGGACCTCCATCTCCGAAACCACAAGGGCCTCACTGACCATCAGCTTTCTTCCCGCTCGGTGCCTCCCCCTTGGCCACTTCCCCCTTCTCCTTCAGATCGATGTACCAACTCTCCGTTTGCCCCTCTTTGTTCTTGAGTGTGAATGCGAAGACGGCGTTGCCCTTTTTCACGGCGTCTTTCCGCTCGGCGTCGTCGGATTGCAGGGAGCTGTTGATGGCGTCAAAGGCGGCGGAGGAAGGAAATGAGTCTGGCAAGTGGGATATCTAATCAGTGTTGGGCCTTTGAGCGGAGAGGGAGAGGAGAGCGTGCCAGATTTTAGAGACATAGTGGATTTGAGTGGGTCAATGATGGTTGATGAAGGCTTATCTGATTGTTATCTATGTCGCAGAGCGCAGGCTTGAGGTTTTGAAAGAAGCGGGGGTTGAATGGCGACGATGATGAAGAGGGGGAGAAAGGGGGAGAGTGAGAGAAATAGAATTGCAATGGCTTTCAGGTGGCTTTTGAACCGTCATTATCAAACCGAGGCAAAGCGGTTAATATTCGGCTTCTCTTAGCAGTCTTTTCCTGAGGTGGAGCGGAGTACTAATAGATCTCGCTCTCTCGGTCTTGCATGTACATGGTGGTGATGGGATAAGTAAGATGATTGTAATATAGTTTCATTATTCGTTCATTTACGTCAAACGCCCCCTCCTTTCACAGCCAGCTCAAGATAGAGCCGCTCAGCAACCTGCGCATATGTTCCTCTGTCCCGAACAAGAGCTCCTTTCCCTTTGCACTCGCTCTATGCAATGCCCCTTGTAATGGCTTTGAGCTGCTAGTCCTGCTTTTTACATGATCTTTCCAATCTCTGATGCGTTGCTCTTGCTCAAAAATTGCGGGACTCAGCATCAGCGGCACATCCATGACCTCTTCTGCAGTCTCCTTCCACTTCTCACTACCGCTAATCTCTGTGAGTGGAGAGAGTGCGTCGTCCCAGTCACCGAGGCGGAATTCGACGCCGTTCAACTTGAGCGATTCTAAGGTGCGCCGATGTTTGCGAATAAATCCTTTTATTTGAGGAGAATCGGACAAGATGTTCATGATTTCTGTGTCGCGAAGCTTTTCAAAGCGCAGACAGGGGAGTGGGAGTCCACATCTCTCATGACACTCATGGCTGCAACTGGTTGCTTGTACGCAACTCTCAGTGGCAAGCGATACAGGGCTCGGACCTTTGGTTTCGGACGCTCCTTGCCAGCGGAAATTGAATTCCGTGAGAAATGGAGCGAAATTCTGGAGATATGAGTGTAGAAACTTCAAATGATCTACTGGAGATCCCGACTCAATAGTGTCCATGTGTATATCGAGCTGGCGTATCTGCCTCCAGCATTTGGTGGAGCGTGGAGTTACACCAAACCCCAACGATGGATTGAGATATTGCACAGCGCCTGGATGAATTGGCGAGAGAGAAAGAGTTCGAAGACGTGAAAGGTTGCTTCGCTCGACGGCAATACGCAGCGAGATCAAGGCGTAGTCAACGACACTGCGACGCTGTCGCTCTTCCGACGGCTGCCCGGGACACGAAATTTCCAGATGTCTCAGGTTTGGCATCGCTGAGAAGGCTTGAATGAAAGCCGGAACTTTGGCAGCGTCATGAAACAAGGGCGGATACTGCTTGACGAGCAGATCATTCATCTCCCAGCTCCCGTAGGTGGGTATGCTGTGGCGGGTGACAGGGTCTTTAGCAGAACCGATATAAGGTTCGTAGATGAAAGCAACTTCGATGCCACTGGTATCCACTAAAGGAGGGAGGAACGTCTTGCCGCTGTGAGGGATGGTGAACTTCAGGGTCTGAACATGTTGGCCTATCCGGCTCAATGCTGCCATGCGCACTGGCTTGGTGAAGATCTTCTCCCGAAAGGTGACAGCGATCTCTTTGAAAAGGTGTGGTGCAGCACGTACGCTGAAGTCATAGCAGGCCAGACGAAGGGAAAGGAGATCATCTTTTGGGACGTAGGATAGGAATGTATCTCGAGGTCTGTCGCACAACCAGAATGGGATGAAGGCTGAGCTTGACATTGTAACAAAGCATTTCGCTCCAAATGGTAATTGTCTTGCAAGAGGAGGAATGATTAGACATTGACACGGTCTTGGAGGTGCGATGACCTACAGTGGTTTCAAGGACTTGCTGTTGACAGCCTGCTAGACGGCAGAGGAGAATGAAACTCACGTCAATGCGAAATCTTAGTCAAAGCAGAGGTGTAACGATTCTTGCAATGGATATGTCAATCAAACTTGAGAGTTGTGCAATTTATTCATGATCATATTCGAAAATGAGGATTTTACCAACAACGAAAGGATACCTCAGGAAAACGAGGCAACCCCTCACACTTAAGAAAAACCTCATCCTGCACCATCCACCTGCTTCGTCCGGCCTCTTCTCCAGACCAAAATACCACGCGACAGTGACTCACCCCTCTTTCGAAGGGAAACAGTGTAGATCATGGCTCTAAAGCAAAGCATAAAGGCAGAAAGTAGGCATTACATGAGGACTTTCACGAGAGTCGCGCGGTGTCGCGCCTGAGGCTTCGGCGTGTTAATAGCGGTGAGTGGTCTGAAAGAAAGGAAAGAACACAGGAGGTTGGGAAAGGCAAGTTTCGAGAAGCACGCTAGTAGATGCAGGGTATCAGCGCCTCGGTTTGATACGCGCTATCGATAAGTATCCTCTCAAAAGGGTTTAGCTTGGACATTTCTCCACTTCGGGTCGTGTTTGCACACGCTGTCGAAATCCGCGTTCGCGCTTGCCAAGAGGTCAACGGCTGAACGGGATACTGCACGCATACATGCAGAGTACCATAAGGCAAGTTTCGCATTTTTATAAGCCATGAGAAGAAAGTCACGTAAGCAGGCCATTATTGAGTGCAATGAGAATTCAAGGATCTCCCTCGGGTACAGCGTTTGAGGCCTTTGGCTTCCCCGTTTGCATCTTCATATCGCCCGTTCATGCTTGCGAGGTGAAGGTACGCCAAAGAGCTCACTATCGCCAACCTTCTTATTTCGACTCCCGGGCTTTACTTTGCAAGCCTATTTTAGATTTCCTCGTGTGGTAAAGGCGTTGCCATCAACGAATGGAAAGGGAGTCGGAGTAGCAAAGGTCATCCTAGCCGAGATCTTTACCAGGGTTGCCCTTCTGATTTAACAAATCTGGATTGGGCTGCATGCAATATGGGCTGCGCACTTGATGTGTCATTTTACTAATCTTCCAACCTCTATTTTGCTAAATAATTTCAAAATTCAGCGGGGCAGCAACCGCTCCGATTCCGAGACTACGGGGTCACCTTCAGTTTCCAAGACGAGAGGAGCAGATTTGCCTTTTACGGGTTCAATCAGCGTCTAAATTTCCTTGGAAAAGGGACGCCTCCAAGATGTCGCCGTCGGTGTAAGATCTCACCCTCCTCGGGTAGCATCCATGTTGTGACGCACGTCCCTCGCTGCTCGGAAGCCGTTGACAATTAATGCAAGAGCATGCGAGCTGGTGACCCTTCACTGTCGCTGCCACTGCTCTCATCGTCGAGTTCAATGCAATTCCGCGGCCCGCAGCTTGTGATGTTCAAAGTCGAGCCCCCTTCGGTCTCGTTGTCGGACTCGTCAACATCATCATCATTGTCCTCTGAGTCGCTTCCGTACTCATCTTCATCGCTGTCCCCATGATGTTGCCCCCTCCTTGCACTGTGTAGTCTCGCATTGTGACTCTCGGCCTCCTCAACAGCGGCTAAGAAGCATTCGATCTCTTTGTCTTCCTGCTGGTAACATCTTCTTATGGCCTGTTCGATGCTACGGTTGGACCACCCCCCGCGTTCAGCTTGGGCGTAAAGCTCGCCCACATAGAGTCGGTGTACAACCAGAATGGTATTGTGACGCTGGCGGAAACAAGGACCGCACCATAGAGGAGTATAGACTGGTCGATAGGCAATGATCTGGTTGTTGTTGCCTTTACAGGAGCTGGCATCGCGGCAGAATCCAAATGGGCAGGTATTGACGAGACGGTATCGCTCAGTGTGCGTACAGGACAAGTAATATTCAACGATTTGACACATTTAAACGGCGCTCTACGAGAAAGTGCACAGTCAATGATATTCGTCGAGCTGTGGAGGGAGGGTGTTTGGCGAAGGACTTCTGTGTTGTTGGACGTTGTCAGAATCTGAGTACAGGAAGTGGATTCTTTACTTCGAACCTTCGCCATCTTCTTCTCCCTGGATGATCGCCGCCTGTGTCTGCATGTCTTTCCGCTCTCAAAAGTAGCTTTTGTCATTGTGCAAGTGGCTACAACGTTGAGTCTTTCCGCGATCACAGTGCCATTGTGCACAATCAAGGAATTGACTGGCATTGTACAAAGGTTTTTCCTGGCTCTAGGAAGTTTAGGTGGCGAACAGCAATTCATCCTGTTCGGAACTCCAAAGGTCAGTAATCGTCAGTGCCAGAGAATATGCTTTGTCTTGGCCTTCTTGCCCAACACCAAGAGATTGACATTGTTTCATCCCTGGTATTTTGATTTTCTTACAGTCTCTGGGACTGAAAGAACGCGAAATCAAGTTTTCACAGGGTATCAAATGAGACTGCAAGTCACATCGGAAACACTCAATGCTATTGAGTAAATTCCACATGAATAGCAGGCGCATTCAAGCGGGCAATCAACGAAAATGCGAAGAGACTTCCCCCGGCTGCACGAAATTTGAAAGAGAAGAACGCACAAATACATCGGAATTACCAAGCTTCTCCATCCCCGCGTCCGATTCTGGCTGGAAGTGACGCATGCTGACCACTCACAGGCTTGCCGAAGCCGAAGTGACACCAACCATCAACATCAAAGCGGCAACCTCTGGACGAGATACCATCTCCCAAGACATCATCCTCAAGCTGGCTTTACCTCAAAGCTTCCTTTTGTTTCAGACGCGTTTACTAAGACGTATTGACACAACTTTGCTTTCCCAAATTCTGCAATATCCCTTCCTCTAGCACACCCCTCTTAGCAAGCTCCACATACGAAGTCTCTCGGCGCGTATCACAACTTCTGCCGGCTCTGCTCTCTCTTCCAGCATAATCTCTTCATGGTTTATATTCACAGCAAAATCTGAAGACGTCTTACTCGCTAGATCGCAATTGTCTTCAACCGCTAGGCTAGACAATAGCCTCAACCCCAGCCACCATTCAGACACTGTTCAGCTGTATCACTAAGAAGGTTAGACTAATCTGTGGTGACCTACTATCGGTGAAAAATTCACTTTTCGCAGGCGTCTCTCCGAAGACGATGACAACTCAAACCATCCGCACGAGAGACGGCAACGTGACCATCCTTACCGCACCCCCACGTCTCAGCTACCCACAAACCAGAAGCAGAGATACCGCAGCAACCATGTTGCCACCTCCAACCATCGGTAACCAGCGAAATGGAGACGGCTGGCCAGATTGGGCCTCGACGCCCGCACCTCCTCACCTCATCCAAAGAAACTACAACGCAGACCTTCAACTTCCCCCCGGCTGGCCACCAGGTCTCGAATGGAGGCCCCCCTACGGATCGGTAGTTAGAAGCCAGCTCCCCGGGCGCACCCCCAGATTCGACCCTCGGTCCATGCTCTGGTGGTCCCAGTGGGAAATTGTGTTCGCGAAAAAAGTGCTGGGGTTGAGCGACGCTGATACTTGCTCTCTGTTCCGGTTTCGTTGGCAGGTGATGGACAGGTCGACGCGGTACATGCAGCCGTATCATGTACCGGAGATCATGCGGATGCTAAGTGACGGGCACCCATGGCACGCGCACGCTTTCCGCGCCGGGGACCCGAGGCCTAAGGTTGAGATTTGTGAGGAGTTCCTGCAGGATCTGCGGATGGCGAGGGACTGTGAGCGGGCTTTGCTGCAGTAGCCTTTACTGGGATTGGAAAAGATATTTTTCGTTGAGTTGCATGCGCTGGAGAGTGAGGTCTTTCATGGATAAGGTCCTTTGTTTAGGTTTAAGACTGAATGTGAACAAGCCTTTGATGAATCAATGTTACTACGTTTGGTCCCTTCCAACGGTGGTTCCAACGAGAAAGTCAGGGTCAATACTCATGCCGGCCTTGGAGTCGATGTCATGTGGCATCGTATTTCTCCAGGGCATGGCTCTCCAAAGGAAAAGCGGTTGAATTGGTCATAAAAGGCACTACAGACATATGACTTCTTCATACTTTGATATCCGACCGAGGAACAAGCTATTGAAAGCTACTAGGGGCACTGTCGAGCATGAGCAGTCTGGCCGTAATCTAATGGAGATACCGCGGGCTTATTGCTAGACCAACATGGCTTGCTCACTTCCTTGCGAACACGAATGTGGCGTGTCGTGCTTTCCCTCGAGACCACGCTTCTCATTTCCATATTCATCAGTCATTGCCTTCTCGAGAACAGGCTCCACCTTCTCCATCCTCTGGCCTCGCAGCTCCCACGCCTTCAGGATCTTCTCACACGTAGTTTTGCAGGTTGGCAGTACTTTGCAAGATGATCGTACCAGTTTCGAAGAAATACTCTGTAGCCTGTTCCAACTCCCACGTCCCCAACTTCTCCACAGCCTAGATATCCTTAAGTGCCACTGCCTCGTTGCTCCACTGAATTTCCTTGGCAATCGTCCACTGGGGAATCATGAGCATGTTCGGCTCATAGCTAGTGTATATCTGCTTGCACACCTTGGCCCACGGCTTCTCTCAGTGATCGTAGTGAGGGGTTCCCCCAGTTGCAACAACCCGCATACCGCCGGGCTGGGTAACGCGGTACATCTCCTCTGTGACCAGGTACTGGTCTTGCGCCAGGCATGTCATGAAAGCTGTACAATTGTAGGTGAATCCTTGGACGAACCTGCAATTTAAGCGTCTTGGCATTTTAAACCCATCCAGAAATCCCTCGTCATTACTTTGAGCCAAGCACATATGTATAGATAGTCTCATACTGACAATATAATCAAAATATCGGATCTAAGTATTGGACGTCATATGGTAAGATGGGATCTCGTTGCATGCTTCACTCAATATCAACCAGCCATATTCTGGTACGGGCCCAAGCGTCCTCAAATCTGCCATATGACATTGATGAAATTGATATAGCTTCAAGTTGCCATTGAAACTAAGCCTTTGGCCACTTAATTGTTGCCTCGTTCTCCAGAAGCATTTTAAATCACAGCAGTGCTCTCAGTGGATTAATTGGATTTTCTTTGACGATCAGCGATGCAATGCACGGCGATACTTGCCACAGGCTGACACGCGTTGGATTTGTGCTAACGGCTGACATGCGTCGGAGTCCCGAAGCGAATGACTTAATCATCTCCTACCAGGACGCGACAAACACCATTGGCGTCGTGAAGGGGAGACGCTCGCGGACCTCGACATGGCCAAGCGCACCTACGCCTGTCCTTGCTGCGTCAATATCATCATCTTGGTACAGGAAACGGTAACGATGCCATGTAGGTCAACGGTCATTGGCCCGAATATATAGCCTGGTACCTCAGATTTCAGCTGCTCTCCGTTTCCTGATCCTGCAGAATCCGGGCTTGGTTACTAATTATAATTTTTGCCTAAAAAGCCGGGGCCTGGAATATTTCGGTTCTCGAGGACTTCTCCTGACAGGCATCTATTGATGAAATAGATGGTTGCAATCTCGAGGAAATCCTCCAACAGAGCCATGGCAGACTCACAAGAATCCGCAGACGCATACGAGTACCAGAAAGCACACCTCAGTGACAACAAAAAGGCGGAGATCATTGCGCCAACTGTGATTTTTCTTGCTATTGCATACACTGCGGTCTTCTTACGATACAAATCTCGGCGTATTGCACGTATAACGTTGAAGGCTGATGACTGGTGTATTGGGTTGGCTTTGGTAATAGATCTCGCCAACCATCTTTGGCCAGATGTTGACGCTACCCGTAGATTACGACAACATGCTTCATCATCGTCTACTATCTGGGAATAAAATACGGTATGGGGAGACATGAGATCTTGATCACGGATCCCAAAGCATGGGTTATAGTGAGTTCCCGGCTGCCTACTCTTAGCCTCGGGGGTACATTGAACCGGTGACTGATACTGCCCAGATTATTGTCTCAACACAAGTTCTATACAGCATCAGCATTTGCACCATCAAGCTCTCCATCCTTTTCCTCTACGACCGCATTTTTGGCACCCCTAAACCAATGTTCAGGCACATTTTGCGGGCAATGGGTGGCTTCGTGATCGCCTACGGCGTGGCCGGAACACTAGGGACCATCTTGCAATGCGTACCACTAAGTGACTTATGGAAACCTCCTAGCAATGGTCCCCCAGTATGCATTGATTTTGGCACGCTGGTAATAACAATGGGCGTCCTTAACATAGTGACCGATATCACTATACTTGGCCTACCGATACCCCTTGTATGGGGCCTGCAGGTGTCAAAGCCGCGCAGGTGGCAACTTGTCACTGTCTTCTCTTTAGGCGGATTGTAAGCACATTACCATGTCTCATTCCGGTCGAAGTGCGCAGGACTGAATCCTCTCCAGGGTTTGTGTGATCAGCATCATCCGGCTTTTCTTCCTAAGAGTTGGCATGTGGGATGCAAGCTGTACGTGCCGCTAAAGGCATGTATAACGTATATTCCCGTTGCTGATGACTAATAGATGACGACGTCAGGGGAACCACGCTCTCCGCGATTGAATGTTGCGTTGGAATCCTGTCCGCTTGTCTTCCTACCTACCGACCTCTCTGGCGTAAATATGGCTGCGCCCGTACCAAGCGCACGGCCATAGCCAATGAGACCCACCCTAATGATCTGAAGATGCTCAATTGTGCGACCGGAGGTAGCCTTTGGGGGAAGGGTACCAGTACGCCTCGGACTGTGGCGGATGGAAGAAGTGAAGGGTCATGTGCTACGTGCCAGATCCCAAACTGATGTTCCGAATAAGCACACTACCAAATTGCTAGTGCACTACCGCTTAGGTGGTGTGGTGTGATCTGACACTCACACCACACGGTTTACAGCATGCCGGGCGCTGTGGAACATCGCTGACGTGGATGAAAGTCTTTGTTTCGTGCTCTGCAGCTAGTGAGTGTTAAACCTTATAGGGCTGTCGTTGGCTTCGGTGAAAGCAAGGAAACGATAATGTGGCAGACTGCTTGATGGTAGGGACAGGGATGGATGTCTTGCAGCAAGGACGACTGAGACTAAGACAGAGATAGGAAAGCCTCGAGTGTTGCCAATAATACAGCTTTGAAGCGAGTGCAGTCAGCCATCCAGTGTATCGGATTAGATTGGAGTCCATTTTCGGGCTGGTCTCCAGACGCCAAGTCTCTTACACGTGTGTGAGGCTGCATCCGCCTACATGGAGAACTCGTCGAAGATGCAACCTCATCCTTCTGACCAACCGATTCATCGGTCCCTATCATCGCCTCAGAAGCTGAAGATTACTGCCGCAACGTCGCAAGCTCGACAGTCTCGAAGGCATGCGCAGGATACCCCAGAGCATCACGGCCAGCCCTCTAGTGTCTCATCCTCGGGACCGGCCAGCCTCTGGGGCTGAGTTCTGTTTGAGATTTTACTTGATACCGTGAGTAGGCCGTATATGCGTGTAGGTTGAAATTGTCAAGGCTGTAACACTATCTCTCTTCATACTGTCTACTTCGTTGGGAGTCTCTGCCTGCTGTGCTGAAACACGCTACGACAAGGCAATGAGCTCGACAGCTTCGAAAACTGGAGAACATGTCATTCAGAAGGCCACAGCCAGCCATTCCAGTGTATCAGCTTCAGGCGAGGCCAGATTTCGCGGCCGAGTTTCATATCCATTGTTTGATACCTTGAGCGGGCAATATGTTTCAGGAAGAGAGTGTGAGCGGTGAGATGAGGCAGTCAATTTTTGATTTTCTATAAAGCTGGGGTCTTCATCCTCCTCTATTGCCTTCCTCTTCATGACAAACCTTAGTACCTTTCAAATCCCAGGATTTTGCAGACCATTCATAGACCAAGAACTCTTTTCCCGAAAACCAAACCCTCACCTACCCATTGATAATCGTCCACCTCCTAAACATGGATCCAAGGTTGGACCCAAAGTGGGACATACACTTTCCCGATGCAAGTTCACGACCAAAGTATGGGGACCAAATGATCTCTTCTTATAATCTCTCCTTCATTTACACCTGTGCCAATTATCCCGATGATGACGGACTTATACTAGCGGATCCCGAAAACAAGAGAGTGTTCCTAGCTACACTTCGAGTCCTCTTTGGCAATGCCAGAACGGATATTCCTTATGTGGTCACCACCTTCGAGGATCCGGACCATTGGATCACCAAAAAGGTAGCTGCAGTGGCGGATAAGTACATAGACGAGCTACTTGCCGACATTCAAACGTTGTCTTCGCCCGAAAAAGAAGCGTAAGTTTACCCTATTCTGGTAAAGAGAAATCTACTAAGCGGTCATGTGCTTTGTGTTGTAGCCAAAAGAGGGAGCTCAATATCAGAGATTCGGCGCTCCCAAATATTAATTCTAGAAAGGCTACGAGAGAGGAAATCGTCAAGATCTATGCCGGCGCGTGTTGGTATGACCCTGAGGGAACAGGTTTCGAACCCGCCGAATTGCGTATTCTACTCGGTGCCTTGATTGGCATGAAAAAAGGCGAACGCGTCAGGGCGATACCCCCGTTTGTCCGTTCCTTTATTGAAGACGATGAAGATACTTTCACGGAAGAAGTGAAAAGATTCGCGAGCTTGAGAAAGGATGAATTGCTTGGCGAAGTCGACGTTTTGTGGCGGAATCATGTGACGAAGGATTTGACACCCCCGTGAGTTTTTCCATGTCCTGTAAACACGGTGGAAGACATCCTAACATAGTCAAAGAGCGCTTGTTGAGCCTACACCGGCTGAACCTTCAATCCCGGCCGGATACAGAAACGTCGGCTCTGCCTATGGCGCGCCAGACATAAGGCCAGTGCCTGGTGGCCTGAGCACAATCAGCCATCCTTCATCTCAAACTCCAGCTTCTGGGCACGAGCAAGACTTCATCCTGGGCCAACTCCCTGAGGGGTCTCAGTTCCAGTCCGAGCACGAAGGGTTGTATGGGCACCAGACTGTCCTCGACAAAGAAAGCCCTCCTTCCAGTAACGCAGAAATCTCTGCCTCCTCCTCCTCGAGACGATCAGCATCGCCCACGGGAGCTGGAGTGAAACGCCAAACCGAGGATGAGAAAGCTCGTCGGAACACAGCAAAGGGAGGTAGCGAGAAGAAGGCGGATGAAGGTGACGAGAAGAAACCTAGGGACAGTCGTCAGAAGAAGGCTGTTAGAGTCAATTATCAGGACAAGAAGGGTCATCCCCTTCGACCAAAGTAGACGATATGTTGTAGCGAGGCGGAGGAGACAGACATGGGATAAATTGTTCGACAATCTAGCTTGCTCGGCGTTGACGCAAATCTCTTGCGAAGCATGCTTCTGGTTCTACCTACTGAATGTTTGGTCAGATGAGAGCTTTTTCTGAGTTGTAATGAGAAAGCCTGCGCATTTGCTGACTTGGCGAACAAGTATCAAAGCTGTGATGCCGTTCCTGAAAATCGTATCTCGTTGAATTCATAGGACCATCCCAGACCAGTAGCAAATACATCTCGAGGACAACAGCCAATCATCTCGGGGAACATCTTCCTGTGATTGAGGAAGAGCTTTAATCCGTTTGCTGTTTCCGACTGTGGGACAGCATTGAGCGTTGCAACGGATCTGCACGTGATACATCAAGGTTGGAGTTCATTTCTTATCAGGTTACTTCAGATAGCTTGTTGCGTTGGTTAGGAGCAAAGTAGCCAGTTGTGCGAGACCTTCCTTGCCCTTGAGGACAGAGTGAATTATCAAAGATTAGATAGCTTGACGCATTATCTAGGCGGATCAGTATCGAGTTCAATTTCCTGTGACAACAGCCTGAACAAGGAAGTGCGCAGTCGGACATGACCCAGATAAAACCACCCGATCGACCAGCTTTCCATATTCAAGGAGAGAGTCTGCCTGTTCTTGCTTCTGGGCTCCGAACGTTCTTCTGTCTTCGTGCCTCCTGCGCATAGGTCTCTGCCTGTTGCAAGTCGTGCAGCACCTTGTCACGGAGCAAGGCTTCTTTCTGAGGATCCCACCTACCCGCATCAAACAGTCAGCATTGGTCTGCCACGATAACAGCTTTACTCATAAATTAGATCTGGAGATCAGAAAAGTCTCAAAACATGTCTTGAGACGCTGGAATGGGTACATATCAGGAAAGGGCACGTACTTGGAGGCGTAGTCATGGCTACCGTCGCAGAGATATGTGTAGAGCTGGAGTGCATCGGTTGTCCCCATGCACTGGATACCAGGGATTACATTTCTGTACCGGTGTTTGTACATTTTGGCGATTGCAGCGTCGTCCAGGTTGGTTCTCTCATGGGCAAAGGCAACGCACCAGTGCGTCCACCATGGCAAAAGTGAAGGTTGGAAACTGCCTCGTGTGAACGGATCTTCGAGGTGGAGCCAGGAGGTGCTGTGCTCGTTTAGGAAGACGAAATCAGGTATCTCCGAAGGGTGGAGGTGGTTCCATTTTTTTTCGCTGAGGGGAGGCTGTTCTGAAGGCCAGCCGAGTGTCGGTTCACGAATGGGTATCGCTGGTACAAAGGCTGCTGCTCTAGGGTTGAACTGTGAAGGAGGAGGCGGCGAGCTACCGTGGAAGTTTGAGGGCTGAAAAGATCGAGCGGTGGGATTCATGGCTTCGGCGGAACTGTGTCCTCAGATTTGAGGGTATTCCTGTGTGACGTTGACCTGATGAAGGCCTTTGGATTTTGCGAGAGTAGAGCTTTCGAAAAGGGTCCAAGTGTTGGCTTAAGTCCTCGTCATTGAACGGCTGGTACTGATGAGAAGTGAGCAGCGCTCAACAACACTGAGCATGCGGTTTTTGTGCGACAGCCTGGTTGAGCATGTAAGACAGTTCACTATGGCATGCCGTCTTGGGCAAAAGGGAGGCGAACGTGAAGAGCGTCCAAGTGTTATCCAGTCTGAGTCCGCGCTACATAACTAGGGCGCCAATGTTTCAACCATGCTTTCCAAATGGGACCTTGCTATCTAATTAGCCAGTGAGTCATAAGCCTTGAAACTGGTGTTGCTCAATAGAGCCATATGTGGATAGTGATTCGACGTTGAAGAGCAAATCAACGAAGACTGCGAAGGGAGAAAGGAATGTCGATGACGGAACCCTAACTCGGGCTGCGATAACGACGGAGTCACATGAAGAGGCCAAGAGTGGCTAGTGTTGTGAGACCTCGGTATACGCTCCTCGGAAGGGAAGAGAATAGCTGGGGAAGACGTGATAGGTCAGCCTTATTGCTGTGCGAAGCCGCCAGCGAGCATTGACCACCAGCATCAATATCACCGTACAGTAGCCTTGCTCAAGTTAACATAATTCCTGCTTCAATTCTTCTCCCTCATGCTCTATCGTCCGAGAGATTGCAGAAGATTCTGTAGTCTTCCATACTCACGACTTGCTTGATGGCAATCCAGCTCACTAGGAACTAAACACCCAAGTCCGAAGGGCGGCTCTTCTTCACTGTGACTTCGTTGTGTCACCAGGAGCGGCAGTAAGTTATCGTGCTCGGCCTCTCTCGTCCCTGGTCATCACACTTCTCACACGAATCTACAAGCTCCTGGAGAAGATATGGGTCGACTAGGTCTCGGTTGGCTTCCAACTTATGTCCCTGCATGCCATCGTCCATGGCACTCTCAACAGTAAGGCACTTTTCTGAGTTATTTCCTCTCGTTCGAGACTGCTTTTGAAGTCGCGAGACATGTTGGAGGGACAATTGATCCATTCTACCACCTTTTCTAGCCCCAAACCTATCAGATTCTTATCTACCCATGGGAATGCTGACTCGAGAACGTGCTAGTCCGTCCACGATCGAAAGCGATCGTCTAATGGAAACCTGCGCCCGCTACGAGAGCATCTTCCCAAACGACGGCATAGCCTTTGAACCCGAGAACACGCCCTGGTGGACTCACTGGCTAATCGCGTTCGCGGTGCGCAAGACGACTTTGGATCCAAAGGAAATCTGCTTGTTGTACAAGTACAAGTACAGAGAGGTGATACCTGATATCGATCGCTTACAGATCCAGCACATCGTCGCTGATCTCTGGGACTACTTACGTGACGGGGAGCACGAATACGCCTTTGAGTGGGAACGCAGCCAGGCATCCGAGGACGCTCTTCGCGTTCTTTTGAGCGTGTGGCTGTTCGAGGCATACAGGCCGGACAGTTGGCCAAGCGAAGAGGAAAGACTTCGTTGGCTTTCCTCCGGATACCTTGATCATGCTGCAAGTGAAGAAGAAGCCCGCTCTAATCAATTCGCCGAAGATGCTCAAGGTTCAAGCGGCGGCATGGAGTTTCTAGGGCCGCGCGAAATAGATTAGAGTCTGGTGAGAGTGGATAGTACCATGAAAGCAATCATGCACGGGATTTTCGGTTTCTAGTCTGTTAGACCCTCCACCTTTTTGTCTCTCTGAGATTAAATGAAGATGCTGTCGATTCGAGCCCACCAGCGTTCGGGAATTCTGACAGTGGTCACGAGGGGTTATCCGGTTGTCTGTTCTATATTAAGCTCATTGACCCGGGTAGACTCTGCCTCGCGGGTTGTCTAAGAGTAAATGATCAATGAATGAATCATCTCTTTGGTAGCCTTATGTGACGGCAACTCGCACGAAATTTATTAGAAATCTTGCGATTGACTGAAACAACATACCAGAACAACCCAAGCACACCAGAACCTCCACGGATCACTTAGGGAAGATGGAAATCGACTCGGAGACCTTGGAAGTCGGGTTGATTTCACCCACGGGCCTTCCACAACTATACTTGAAAGATGTGCTAATTGTCTGAATACAGCCTAGAGATTGACTTCGACAAGCTTCTCGCTTCCGACGAAAACCCCTCGGTTTATGGTCTTCTCCTCAAAGTGTCCCGCGAGATCGCATATCTTGCGTGGCGCTATCCGCATTGCCTCCAGCCAGAACCAATATGTGAGGAGTTGCAAGACCGCAACGAACCTTTTCTCGTGGGCTTCACGCCGGACCACGTCTGACAAGCTTAGAACTTGCAGGCCGAAGATAAGGTCAAAGAGGTGGCAGACTTGAAGAGTTGGGCTAAGGAGATGATGACAGACTCAAAGGTTCAGGAAGAAGAGAATGATATTGAGCTACCTAAATTTTGCGCCATCAGGCAAGCTAAAGAGTGAGGAGGCCAAATCATGATGGGATCTTATTGTAAGGGCTGCTATTAGGCGGATTTCAAACACGAAAAGAGTAGCAGACATGCAAGAGTAGTCAAGGTCAAGCATGGGACGGGTGGTAGACATGCAAGAGCAAAGAAAATCAGAAAACAATGAAGCTACTTTTGACCTACTCACATGTAATGTCTTGACCATGCTCGAAATTGAGGCTGTTTCGGTGGACTCTCTTAAAGTGCCGGGCAATAGAAAGCATTAACGGATACAGACGTTAGTCCAAGCCTTCAATTTGCGGTCAAAAGGCATAACGGTCAAAAACTTCGTGCCGCACAACTGGTTTCGTGTCGATGACCGAGTATCCAGGCTTGATTCGATGGTTTGTCACCCTGATCTTGGTGGGTGCGGAGTCGAAAGGACATCAATGATCAAGTAGAGCGTCCCTTTCATACGTAGAGACTTGAAGCGATACGGAGTAAATTCGCGAGCAATGGGAACTGGAGACTCCTGATGGAGGATACGAAGGCTTGATCTCTGCGTGGAGAGCGCTTTGTAATTACACGCTGGCCCGGTACCATGCAACACTCAGAGCATACTTTTGAAGGCCTCCTGTTCCAATTTGCTGAATTGGAAGAGACAATTTTCAAGTCATTAAATGGCTCATTTAACAAAAACTTTGGGTGGAGCGGACCAGAGCTCCGTAACAATGCATGATGACGGCAGTAGTAAGCAACCTTAGGCCCAAATTTGTACTCTCCGAGTGCAGTCGTCAAAGCACTTCAACCCTTGATCTCGACCAAGATTGTTTGGACGGCTTTCAAGCAACTAAGGCCCTCACGTTGACATTCATATCCATTGTAGTATCGAAGCTTGACACCAGGCTGTACCTCAAGGATTACCTCCGCTCGTTGTCGGGTCCTCTCAGAGAGCTGGGAGTACAATTCCTTGTTGTAGGATTCCTAGAATCTTGCGATCGCACCGCGACGGCTGCATCATGCTCCTAGTCAACCAAGGGCAGCACAGAGTTCTTGGTCGTATGTACTCAGACGACCAGCTATTTCGGATCATCGTCCCAAAAAGATTCACACTGCATGCATACCCTCCTGCAAGCCAGATAAAGGCAGGGTTTTCCGAGAAGGTCGTCACTACATCTGGTGATATCAGACCTGACTTCTCCGATGAAGACATCGCTCTTGTGCTCCAATACCGTTGGCCCGAGGACTTCGGCGACCTCAAAGCCTGCGATATAGACGCCGTCAATAACAGTGTCAAAGGAGTGGGTAATAACCTCAAATCCGAGGCGGATATCCTGAGCTACGATGATGTGGCTCTTTCCAGTTACTGTCACGAAGAGCTTTACAACAACAAAGTCCGACGGGATCAAATCCTCAACAACTTTGAGGCAGAGCTACACGAAGCTCGAAACTTCCGAGCAGCAGCGGTTGAGGAGCATTTCAAGCGCACCGAGCCTGGAGTGCTCCAGTACATCATTATTGCCAAAGTACATCATGCGTTATCCTGGGACAGCATTGCCACCTCTCTGAACGGCAAGTACAGAAGACCTGCAGGGCTCATGGGCCACTCGAACAACTTTGATGCTGGTCTCGTGGAGGAGATATTCCAGATACATGCCGAGGCTAGAACAAGCATCTTTGAAGAGTGTGTGAATAGGGACTGGAAGGAAATCTCGTCGAGTCAGGTGCCAACGGGGAAGATCAGAAGGGAGGCCCATGATCGGAGAAGGTTTTCACCAACTACACCGGCTGCAATGACTCTAGCTGATAGTAAGGAGGAGGAATTGGGATCTCTGCCGTGGTGATGGGGTTTAAGGTAGTTGGCGATAGCTATACAGAACCAAGTACAAGGACTGCGTCTCCGGCGGGATACATATTTGGAGAAGTCTTCGTTGCCCATGGCGAGTGCGAAATCCCTTGATGTAATCTGGTGAATCAGTCTCTGGTGTTGCCAAGACAATGCGAGGCTTAGTATGTGGTTTGGGAATGGCCGCAACGAAAGTTTCTATAGCTCAAAAGAGGGTGGTGATGGACAAGGGACGAGGTTTGTGCTACCTGATGCAGCTTAGGGCTTGCCTCGGTTCGGATCGTGTCGCGGCGTTCTAGATGAGTCTACCTGTAGCGTGTAGCCGAAAGTAAGTTGTTACATTGGGATTGTGCCACGGAAAGAGGCCCGGCGTGCTGACTTCCATCAACTAAATTATAAGCTATTCAACGTTAAGTCGAGCGTAAATCAAGGTCCATTACCGCTCTTCTGGCCTTTTGCACCTCACCCTCTTGCGCATCATTCAATCTATTGCATCGATCCAGGGTGGATGAACAATCAAAGAGCGTTCTTGCCGAGCGGACTTCGACGGAGCAACAACAGGGTACGGATGCGTGGCACGCAGAGTTAGTCCCGCACTATGGCATGACAGAAGACCTCGACAGGATAGTACAACGCTTTATGGTGTCCTCTAAGGTCCCCAAACTTGCATCCGAGCCAAGTCGCCGCTGTGGGAGAAAGGATACAGTACGAGAAGGGATGCGGGGACGGTAAAATAAGGACATTGATTGTGCCTGTTCAGCAAAGGCAAAAGATCCATCACCAAACCTGCGCTCAAGATGCGGATCGGAATCCGGGAGCAGTTGGGTCTTCTTGTGCTACTCACGACACTAATTGCCCTCGCCGTGGTGGCTGTTGCAACAGTATGTCTATTCTCTCCGTGCTACTCCTGAAGTCTGCGCACTGACCAGACTTGCTCCAGTGGGTCAACAATTACGACTTTGTAATTGGTATTCGGTATGAATGACCCCACACCTCTTGCTCCTTTCACTCAAATTGACCCTTTCTGTCAGGACCTCGAGTCTTTCCCTTACAGCCTCCCTCTACGCCAACCAACTAGACTCAAACCTCTTGCTTCTCCAGTCAAGCGTCCAAGCCATATCCACGCGCATTGCTCTCCAGTCTGCTTTGCAACGCTATAACTTAGGGAACAACACCGACGCGAATTGGGTCCGCGCCGCATCAGATATGCAAAGTGCACTGTCGGGTGGGGGATCATCTAACATGCTACTTGAAGCGCAGGTGTTCTCTCAGAACGGTACCGGTGTTGGTGGGCCTTATGGTCTGCTGAACGTCAGTTCGCCCACAATCGCAAACGCAATCCCGCTACCGTTCCTTGGTCTCAATGGGACTTCCGTACATCTCGGCGATAATGGCACTGGGTACCCTGTCGAGCTATATCCGAATTTAACGTACACGTCTACCGTCGTTAACAGTACCTTCAATCAATCGGATGCCTTCTGGAATGGACAGCAACTGTACGACAATTCGACCATATTCTTAGGGCCTTGGCTTCTCAATGGGAGCTTCGCTCTGCTTTCGCTTACCGTACCAGTGATCAACGACACATCAAGCGCGGATGTCCTGGGCTGGATCAGCATCATCGTCAATGCGCAATCCATATTCAACATCGAGCAGTCAGTTGAAGGCTTAGGAGACACAGGCCAGATCCTGATTGTGGCACCGAGCACGTCAACTCAGAAGCTGCCAACCAATGTGCAAGCTCTCGGCAGTACCAGAGCAAATAGAACAACAGCAAAGACACAAGACGTGCAGTTCGTATTGCCGCCAATTCAGAACTCGTCGCGAAGCACTCGTCACTCAATACGCGCTTATGGCATGCCCAACTTGCCGTTCCAGATGCGAAGCTATCCCGGCGTATTGGATGCCTACACATCTAACACCGGATCCCGCAACAACGCAGGCAGTCTTATTTCCACGATGAATGAGGAAAATGACCATGTTTCAGTCGGCTACGCTTTGCCAATGTCTCCTATGGTTGATTGGGCGCTCATCGTTGAACAAGCCTACGGCGAAGTGATTGCACCAATCCATCGTCTCCGAAACGTTCTAGTGGCTTGCGTTTTCGGAACCGTCGGTGCCATACTTCTACTCCTGTTGCCCTTGGCCCACATATCGGTGAGACCCATCAGACGGTTACGAGAAGCAACGAAAAAGACCGTAGAACCCTACAGGTACGAATCTGATGACGGCAGCATCCGCTCTTCCATCTCAGGAGACAACGAAGACCTGGGATCAGGCGAAGAGGAGTCAATGACGACAGCAGCTAGAAAAGAAGGTTTCATGGGTCGGATATCGCGATGGCGGGGTGGGCGTCAGCGGAACGACGCGGAACGCAGAGAAGGGCAACGACGGCAAACCTTTCGTATACCTGGCAAGGTTCAAGATCGAAAGCACATCGTTCAAGACGAGCTCACTGACCTTACCCGCACATTCAATGAAATGTCAGAGGAGCTGATGATGCAGTATGAGCGACTTGAAGAAAGAGTTAAGGAACGGACACAGGAGCTTGAGATTAGCAAGAAGGCCGCCGAAGCTGCCAATGAAAGCAAAACCGCTTTCATCGCCAATATCTCTCACGAGCTTAAAACGCCTTTGAATGGGATTCTTGGGATGTGTGCTGTCTGTATGCAAGAGGAGGACCATACAAAGATAAAAAGATCCCTGGGTATCATATACAAGTCGGGCGATCTGCTATTACACCTATTGACGGATCTCTTGACATTCACCAAGAACCAGATAGGTCAGCATCTCACCTTGGACGAACGCGAGTTCCGCTTGTCGGACGTATGTTCACAGGTGGTCTCGATATTCGAGAAACAGGCGAAGGATGGGTCCATAAAGCTGGGGGTGAGCTATGAAGGTCCTCAAGATGGCCTGGAAACAGCCGGCGGAGCTCCTTTGCAGAGCGGTTTTGGACCGTACGGCACAGGACGTGTGAGAGATATGTTCCTCTGGGGTGATCAGCACAGAATCCTCCAAGTCATCATCAACCTTGT